ACCTAACTTTTAATAACAGATACAGTTAACTATATCCTATATATTATATTAATGCAATCCGTGACTTTTACACACGTCAAATTTAACACAGTATGAATACTATTGTTTATTATAATTCGACCTCATGTCAAATTACACATTTCTAATCATTGCGTACATGTCGACAGCTTAAAGCAATTAGCAGTATATATTAAACGTTAATATTACGTTTTTAAAGCAAAAATTTAATTACATAAAAGTATATACGGACAAAATTTGCCGTATTCCTCCACTTTTCTAAAAAAAAGTGTTGTATTCTTAACTTTAACCTCCTATAAAACTCGTATTAATGACTCTGCGATAATCTCACAATTTAACGAGCCTTTAATTTTAGTTTTTCCCCCGGAAAACTATAACCAACATCCCTAGATGAACCATATGGGATTTTCAAAATAACCTAACTTTTAAATCAAAAGTTAAATTACAAAAACTCTAAGGCCTGAACTAAGGGCCTTAAAATTTTATAGCTAATTAACCACACATACAAACGACACAAAAACACAAATTAACGAATCACAGCAGAAACCACGGCCAACTAGGAAACTAGAGTTAATCACTCACAAACTTCATCCTTAGCTCTGCCCTCTTCCTTATTTTATTCCCTATTCCGTTTCTTTATCATTATTATTTTTTAAAACCTACTCCCTAAAGACCCTCACTTTAACTTTAATTTTACTCAAATTTACTACAGGTCATGTTAACCTTGCAATATACACACCTAACTCATGATATTATATTGTTTAATAAACCTATCAATCTCAACTTATGAATGAACCTAATAGAAGCCTGGCGAATTCTCACCAGTATCCTAATTTTGTATCTACTGGTTTTGGACATTCAATTATCCAATTGGTCAAATATGATGTAAATAATTATAGAGATTGGTTAATTGAGCCCAATGACGTCGACAACCCACCCTTTTATGGTGGAATGGAATTTTACTGAAGAATATTCTCATGAGATATCTGTTAACATGTTGTTGACATAGAACCAGTTATGTTATGGCTCTACAAGTGTTTTTATATCACAATATGTCATTCAAACCCTAAGTTGATTTAAGTATTTTAAGTACATATCACATATTATGCGAATATGTTATTTCTCGAGCAAAAATTCTACTAAAAGTATTACACAAAATCACGCAATGATACGACAAACTCGGGCGACCTTACGAAAGAACAAACTGTCGTAAGATCGCCTGATTTTATCGTATCATGAACCTTGTTTTGTCTTGTCCCTATTTCCTCGACTTGTCGCCCCAGGAGTACACGGCAAAACACCAAACTGTCGCATCATCGACATGTCGACTTATCATGTCGGAAGTTAAAGACTGCACATGCGATAGTCTTACTCTACAAGTCTCTTTCTATACCTATTCGACAAAACACTTAGCACGAAATATGTGAAAACAATAAGATTTCAAAATTAAAAGAGTTTTAGAAAATATATTTTTATAAGTCTGTTTTTTCTTTGTAGTCGAATAAAGGGATAGCGTGTTTCGTCCATCGAGGCCGCTAGTCTGACTGAATCAGCTTGGAACTTGGTGTACTTATTCTTTATATCCTAAGGACGGCACCTACTGATGTTGGAGCGTATCGAACCTTTAGAGGGTGCTCACAATCGCTGAAGGCAATATTGTGCCAATTTTCAATCTTCTAGGCCTTGATCCCATTAGGGAATATGCCAAATGGGTGAATATACGATAAGGTCAATAAGAGCTGCAAATAGTTTTTTGCACATCTTAAAAATATCTCCTACAACTCTTGGTGGAGTGGCGTGCTAACGCCGATGCGGTGATTTGAAAGCTTTTGACCCGACATAATGCTTTCTGCAATTCCATTCCATCATCCAGTTATCTATAAGTATTGACGGATGTCGTAAAGGAGTCAAAATATGCTTACTAGTTCGAGAACTCTTGACACCACGGATGGCTTGGATTTAGCTTGGATTTAAACAGGATTTCATTGATTGATTAAATTTTTAAATGGCGTCGTAAGCGGAGATTAACCGTTACGTTGACGTCATACTCCCGGAAATTTTAGATCGAGGCTAAATGATAGAGTGTACCAGTTACAGTACAACAAGAGTACACGCAGGCTAATAAGAAGTCGGCTATAATTATGCCTCATTGATTTGGTCCATTCATTTCATTTCAAACTTTCGCTTCTTATCTATATATTAAAAGTCTTATTTTTAATTTGTAGTAAAAATAAATGTGCTGGCGGTACCACAGCCATTGAAAACGTTACTTGATAATCGAGATTATGTAGGTGGAGTTAACGCCTGTCAATCAAACGAACTGCCATTCACGAAGACGGTGAAGAGAGAGTTGACTCCTATTTCAAGTCAGAAATTACAATGGCGATAACATTGTTCAGAATAAAGTAATTTGACTGAAATTTTCAATATATTCTTCTTTGGTCATCTATTTTTGAACTGTTATAGCAAGAATGGCCAACTCTCTATTAAAATCTCCCATAATGTATCTTTAAATATAGTACCAAATATAATTTCCCTCTGAACGCAAAATGTTTCATTATTTTGAGAAAAACAATCTGATTAAAATACAGATCTATATTTCGTTTCGTTTCGTTGTTTTTTTTATACTTTCGATGGCATACACTACATGCAGATCTGACAAGTTGTACTCGAATGTCGTGTCAGGGGTCGTGCGAGCGGCTTTTGACGCCAGACATTGATTAATCAATCAGCGTTGGCGTTGCTAGTGGTTTACCCACAGTTCCGGGCATGGCACGCCGGTAATATAACAACTCTTCCAGATCCTAGTGTAGTAAAAACAAGTAAAACGAAATTTTGAACTACATGTATAAAAAAAACGAAATGAAATAGGATCTGTGTTTTAATCAGATTGGAGAAAAAAAATAATTAATCAACATTATCTCTTTTGTACCAGTTTGATATATTTATCTATTTTGCCTCTTAAGCCAGGCTGACACTTGCACGACTTTTGGCCACAATTTTGTCGTGGCAAGTCGTGCCATTTTGGGGCACGAACTGGGAGGCTCCCGCACTGTTCACGACTAGTTCACGCATAGTTCACGACGAGTTCACGAATGAGTGTCCATCAGTGTCCACATTGACACGAACTGGCATGACGAGTTCACGCATAGTTTGCGCATAGTTTGCGCATTGTTTACGCACTTCCAGCATTGGCATGACGAGTTTGCGCAATTCGGACGGTGTCGTGCCGATTTGGGCACGCCATATAAAAAGGGGGCCTCCCCAACCCCTGGTCATTTTTGGATTGGCTGTGGAAGAGACAACATGCTAAATGTCAGAGACACAATCATTGCAGGAAAGAGGAGATGCCTATACCTGGCAGCTGCTCTAGCCATTGTTCAAGAGCAGCAGAAAAGGCTGGAAGAGGCAGAAGAGCAAGAAAAGGCAACCCCACCTCGAAGAAAGACACAAAGGAAAGTGTGGGTCAGGGAATGGTTGACCAGAAGGCAAGAGTTTGGAGAGTATGACAGTTTTCTGACTGAACTCCACAAGGAAGATCAAAGGGGCTACAAAAATTACCTCAGAATCACACCTGACCTGTTCCAAGAGATGGTTGAGAAGTTAAATCCTCGCCTCCAGAAGCAGTCCATCTTCATGAGGGAACCGCTTCAAGTTGGACTCAAGCTAGCTGTCACCCTCCGCTTCCTAGCCACTGGAAATTCCTATCCAAGTCTGCAGTACAGCTTCAGGGTTGAAGCACGTACCATCTGCAAGTTCATACCCGAGGTGTGTAAAGCCATCATCGCGGTCTACAAGGACGAAGTGTGCGCTGCCCCAAAACTGAAGAGGAGTGGAAGGAAGTTACTGCCAGGTTCAGCTCCAGATGGAACTACCACAACTGTCTGGGGGCTGTGGACGGCAAGCACATCGCCATGAAGAAGCCACCCAATGCTGGCTCTTACTACTACACTGAAAAAACACTTGTGTTGGATCTCAACACAAGTACTTGTGTTAAAACTAATCTACACAAGTTATGTGTTGTTTTGCATTGCATTAACACAAACTTGTGTCGATTTATAAAATCTTGTGTTTTTTTCATATCATTAACACAAGTAATGTGTACCTTCCAAGATTTGTTTTCTTTTTAAAAAAAACTCCATACAAAGTCTGAATTCAGGAGTCGTCAAGTTTTAAGAAAAGTAATAAAGGGCTTAATTCACATCTCGAAAATCACATGCTGTTCTTCACTGGAAGGGTGTGAGTACCAATTAATCAGACAATTGCCAGACAGACTTGAATGTTAATTGATGTTAAGTTGTCTGTATAGTTAAAATGTCTGTCTTTTTTTATTGACCCAATAAACTGATAGATCAAATGAATATATAGTGTACATGTGATTTTCAGCACCCTGGTGTTTTCGAAAATTGATTCAATGTACAATGAACAAAAAAAATGAGTAAAACTCTTAATAATGTAATTGGTTGATGTAATCGAAATTGGACAGTATTGGTTAACTGAAAAGTAACCAATCAAATTTAATTGATCATCCACGTGTATCTCATAATCGACTTATTGATATAATGGTTCTCCAAGTTATCTATACTTTTTGTCTGCGATATCACTTCGGTGGAAGCGGACGTAAAATACAACTAACTAAGAAGAAGTATCTATACTTTAGTCATTGCGACAAATTCTTTCTTTGATATTATATCAGCGACATTCAGTTAGATAGATGTAGTGAAGTTAGCATCAACAGGGTGCTTTAGCCGTGATATTTTAAAAAAAATTATAATGGTCACATAGAATACCAGACCGCAGGTTTGTAAATTGTTACAAAAAATAAAACCGTGTATTTAATTTAGCATGTATATATTGCCTCTATGTATATAATAATTCGTTTCGTTTAAAACAGTCAGAATTAGAACTACTGCCACTGACTGCACCGGAAGTCTATTTATATAATGGCGCCACAAAGAAAAATTTTTTGATGTGTGCTAAAAGTGTTCCGCTAATTCAGCAATCTAATGAATCTGTCTTAATTTTTCTGAAATCGTGCTTAATTATTATTAGCTAATCGGCGCTACACCGTTGTTCAAATACTTATAATTGCAAGAAACCCCCGACTAGGACCAGCAGGTAAGAATCTGTCTTGATTTTATAGTAATACCCGGTTGCAATTATTGGCCGCCATCTTTGATTTTTATAGACATTCGGGCAAAAGGAGAAATGTATATCCAGACATGGACTATAGCTAGATACTAACTTTTGTGTTAGTTGTTTAGTTGAAATGTAATCTTATTTCTGTAAAAGAAAAAAACAACAACAAACAAATCAGCTTTTTTTTTATATCAATGTCATCAATGTGTAGGCCTAATATTAGACTTTCAATGATTCAGAAGTTTCTCTACAGTTTCGTTATTTTTTTTTCCAGTCATTGATGTTAGCATGTACTACACAAAGAAAAACAGGTAACAGAATTTCATTTCCTTTTAATATATTTTTTTAATAATGGCCAATAATTGTTATTGTATGTAACACGAAAAGTATTTATCTCTGTAGAGAGAGGGCGAGTAAATGGGATTTAAAGTTCACTAAATTCACTTGACACAAACTATGCCATTCATTTCCTTGTATTAAATTGGTCGAATCAAGTAGGTCCATGCTATATATATGTCCTAGAATCAAGTAGGACAGGTAGTCTTCTTCCGTTTCCGCCCTTTTTCTGAACACTGTCTCATTCTATTGCCATCTGTGTATGTTGTGTTATATTAATTCTGCATAATTAACTCTAGTTAACCTAGTTAACTCTATAATAATAAATGAATTTAATATATAAATAAATAAAATATAAATAAACCAATAATATATTTGTAGTTTAATATGTTTTATCTTATCATTACAGGCAAAGCATGAAGCCAAAGGAAATGTTTTTACCAAGGCATGTTCCTCAATAGCGGAGAGAGTTTTATCCAGTGTCGGTTCTGCAGAAGAACCCATTCATAGCAGACCACCCATTGCAGCACTTGTAAGGTCGCTATAAAGAACCCGACAGACTCTGCGACCAAAAGATCCCACTGACGTGTCGTCAAGCGTAAGTACTCATGCAATTAAATACCCATGTATATAAGAATTTATTAACATGTAATTAAATGTACGATTTTATTTATTTATTAACATGTACTTAAATGTACTTTTTTATTTATTTTTTGTTTTAGCTTGACGAAGATTTCATCGATCATAGTGCACCGGGATTTTATCAAAAAAGAGTAAAAGTTGGGGAAAGGCGCCATCACATTTTTTGTACTGATAGACAGATGCAACTACTCGCACGCGCAAAAACTTGGTATATGGATGCAACTTTTCGGGTGGTGAACAAGCCATGGTCTCAGCTGTTTTCCATCCACGCCTTCATTAAGACTGGAGAGACCACCCGACAGTTACCATTGGTGTTTTGTGTCATGTCGGGTAAAAGCCAAGACGACTATTATAAGGTAAATAGCACTTACTGATTGAATTACTATTAATAGTAAAAAAGGACTATTATTTGGGACCTTGAAATTGTCACAAATGGGTCGCACTAACAGCGACATTTGTTTCAGGCATATTTGTTTCATCGGTGACACGTCTGGTGTCATGTGAATGCAACGACAACAGCCTGGTTGATTGATTTGTTGATTGGAGTTCAGATGTCTACATTAAAATCGACCACTTTCAGGTTGCCGTATTCACGGCCAGGCAAGACCGACTTGAAATTTCTAGAAATTTTTCTGGGGGAGACGGGCCCCAACAAACCCCCCGACGGTGCGTTTCACGACTTTGGCGCAAGACGGTGACCTTGAAGAGACGTCGAAAACCATTTAATAGACATAGTAAAAGTCATATCTTACGAGATTATCGCTGGTCTTGTCAGAAAATGCTATTTTATATATGACCAGTTTGTGTTTGAAAAATTTATTCTCCCACCATTAAAGCACACTAATTACGAAATATCGCTCTCAGAAACTTCATGGTTTCTTTTGCAATTTGTTTGGGGTAAGACGTTATATAAATAATATCAATCTGTCTACCGGTACCACACAAATTTAACAGATACAAATGCATGTTATTCCACAGGTAGACAGACAGGGCCTCCTTTGAAGGGACTCAGTGAAGGGAACGCGGTTGGTTTAGAGTTTGTCTGACCCCTTTGAATATTTGCGTCTCATCTCCAATGAAAACAATCATGTTGCTCTCATGCTGTTCTCAACCAGAATCAAACATATATCGTACCAGAGATTTGTTAGCATGTTCCACACAACCCAACATTTATCGGCACCGGGATTAAGGGTGTATATCTTTGTTTCTAACGCTTATTCGGAATACGCCACGGGAACTACAATAAAAACTTATTTACAAAAACATTCTAAAGAGGGAAAACTGACATATTTCAAGCTTTACTGTATTTAAAGAAATAATTTAAATCAGCCGGCTGAAACCCCGTCTCCGCTATTTGTTCAGTCATTCTTTAGGTATAGTGCCAGTTTCCACCGACAATGATATTGCAAACAAGTGTCCAATCTATAAAAGCATACATTCCTACAAAATGTTTCTTTAGTCAAGTGAAACAATAAATTCATAACTATGCGAGGGTGTGGTGAGTAAATTTGTGGTAACAAGTGTGAATAGGCTAATGTGACATAGAACAAGGTCACATTGATGTTGACAAATACGTAAGACGATATGAACATCAACTAAAAAGATATGTAATGTGATTCAGCTGCAAGGTCATATATGCAGCATAGATAATTAAAACTTCTATTCAAGTTAAACCAACTGTATCTATTTAAGTCTTACGTCGAGCTGAATACATTTTATGATTTATTTTCATCTATTGGTGGTTAACATTGTGTAACTAAAAACTAAAATTGGATCTTATTATTGCCAATGATATAATGTACATGTAATAGCAAGTGTATATATATTTTTTGTTCAGTCTGTACACAGTAACATATCTGAGAACCATATTATTATCATTTCTGCCCAAGGCTCCCTGTGCCTTATAGTTAGCAGTGATACAAGGCAATTACCAATTTTCCATGTTCTTGGCCTGAAGAAATAAAATAATAAAAGTCAAGTTTTTATTATTATGCAAGTGGAAAAATACAATTATTCATAGTATGATTTGAAAAAATATAACTGATTTGAAGTTGGAATTATTATTTGTCTAAGATGACTGGGCATTTACAAATTGAAATAGCTACTCTTCATCAAGAAAATACATGAATATTTTTCCCAATTCACCTGGATTTTATTGTAGGTCTTTGTACGTGAAATAGCTTTATTTAACGTCCGCTACCACCGAAGTGATATTGCAGAAAATTAACAAATTCGGATTCCCTTTTAAAGGAAATTGACTGCACTATCGCTGGATTGTATTATATAGGTCATGTCAGTTTTTTTTCAAAATGGCGCCCAGAACACAAAACAAACATTGCAATTCAGGGCTGACTGGTGTCGAGGCTGTATCCTAAGAATGATTTTTTGAATATTTAATCACACAGAAACACAAGTATGCACATGCAGTTATGATATAATATTAAATTAGCTTACCTCAAATACCTCGAAATATACTGTTTGGTCAGTTTGTCCGCCCGCCATATTTCTATTAGTCACACATCCTTCGGCCAATTAAAATGGACGTATATTTTGTTTTAACCGAAACGAAAAATTTGCGTTATAAATAGTAAACGAGCTTGATTGACCGACCACTGCTAATGTTTTTTCGTGAAACGGTATAACTGCAATCAACACACGGCCGCCATTCTCGATGATTGACAACTCACGTTTTTCCTCATCCACCAAAGAACCGTTAGGTTTCTTTGAACATACTGTAATAACATTGGGATTATCAGTTAATCAGCTTTAATTATCCCGCTTTGATCGTTGCCATTTCTTATATTTTCCACAAAAAAACTTTGCCTTGTACGCACTAATTTATCAATTGGTATTGCCATCTACGACAAGCATGTCAACGTGCAGCTCACGGATTATCGTTAACAATTTATAGGGGCTTGTAAAAAAAGATTGCATGTCGTGTAAATATTTATTTTGTTTTTTGTGTAGGTCATTTTCAAATAAATTCATCAGCATATTATTCGTTTTAAATAAATATAAAACTTTTATGAGAAACGATGATTATCAAAGAACCGTAAGTGCAACTAATGTTTTATCGTTTGGTTGAGCCTTTTACTAACCACGTGTTTCATGTTAATAAATATTTTCTTTCGTGTTTTGTTTGAATTGGCCTATTTCTAATAAATTATCCCGAGTCCCAAACGTCGTTAACCCGAGTCCCAAACGACGTATACCAAAGTCCCAAACGTCGTATACCGGAGTCCCAAATGTCGTGGTCATATTTTTTTGAGTCCCAAATGACGCGAGTCCCAAATGACGTGAGTCCCAAATGACATGTAATCAACCTAGAGTTTTTGTTAGTGTTTGTCGGATAGATCCTTTATACTTACTGGCGCTAGGTAATTTCGAGGCTAATATTGTTCAATTTTATTTGAATGATTTGCTTGCGCGTACCGTAGGAGTGTATTAGAAACAGTGTTTGCACAGGTTCGAGAACGGCTGAAGAACATGAAAACACTTTCATGAGTCTCGAACATGAGAGAACGGTATCCATGGTAACAAGATGAAATTAAATTTATACAATCTGTTACGATAACTTGTTTAGTATTTACTTCGCTATTAAGCATAATTTTGATAAATTATGACACCGTTTTACTGCTTTTCAATTCTTTGGATGACGATTACATCACCTTTTGATACGCCCTCGTCCGTAGGTTTGTCCGTCGTCTACAGAACTGATTATTTTGAAATTGATATGTTGTTTATTTTAATGAGATGAATCCTATTTAATTTCAATAATTTCTGTTAGTTTCTTCTGGAGTTATGGCCCTTGTTTCACTTTGTGAAATTCATTTGAATCTTTTAAATTAGTGAAACGAAGACGTCTATTAAATTTCTGCGATTTCTGTGAATTATGTCTAGAGTTGTGGCCCTTGTTTTACTTTTTCGAACCTTGTGAACGCGCGAACAACAAAATTATCATCCGATTTGTATGAAAATTGTATGCATTATTTAAATTAGTAAAACACAAAACAAAAAAAATCTGTCAAATTTCAACAATTAAGGCCCTTGTTTCAGTTTGTAGAACCTTTGTAAACCCACAAACGACGAAAATTATAATCTTGTATGAAATTTTCTTGTAAATGCCCACATTACCTACAAAAGAATGAATATGCGACAATCCCTGTTGACTGCGCAAACGATTAAACTGCTGTGGGCATATGTTTCGTTGCCTGGCAACCTAACTTACTTGATGTTATACTGGCCACATACTACATCCAATTTTCGAACGGTATTAAACTTTTAAATTAATAAATGCACCCATGATGCTGTTTTCTCAGCAGTTATCAGTTATCGATACGTCGACCATGTTTGTTCTCCCTCACATCAGCTATGGGGTAGTGTGGGATTTGAGAACGGGAATGTGTTCGTGAACGCATTCCAGACTGCTCAAGTCCAACAAGAACCCATTCTCCGTCCGTTCTCTGCACCGGAACACTGTTTCGAATACACCCTAGGGGTATTTAGCAAAGGGAGGAAACCGGAGGACCCGGAGAAAACCCACAAGGCTGGACAGGCGACCCTATTCCTAGTCACATTCAAGTGGGGAATCACATAATAATGGCCTATTTCAAATAAGATATTTGCATATAAAGAAAGTAGGCTTACAGCCTCTTTCAAATGTGATATTTGCATATAAAGAAAGTACAAACTTAAATCGTCAGTGCTGGATAAACTAGCCAAAGGATTTGGCTGAATCAACTGGCGCTAAACTTCACCTAGTTTATCCACTGACATACGCCCGAATCAAACATGTTTGATATATTTGGCCGAATTGTATTTGAGTGGTGTGTCCGCTTCGCCGAAGCATTCGTCTGATTTTAGAATTCATTATCCAATCACCACTCATTCATATCGAGTGGGTATCGCAAACTAGCAGTCGAACTGTGACACGGGTGCTACAGCCAACAAATTCCAACTACCATACTATCGGCTTAAATGCACGCCAATGGGACCTCGGGTTTTGTGTTCCATTGAAACGACTAGAAATGAAATGGGGTTTAACGTCCTACTGTTTTGCTCCGAACTGGGCTAATGAAGACAGGCATACACCACACAGTGTGCTATGAGGGAAATTTTGCCCGGACAGCGGCACTGCGGTGTATCGAATTCCAACTGTCAAGGGATCTTTTACGTGCACGCCAACGTGTACACGGGACCTCGTTTTTTCATTTCATCCGAATGACTAGACAGCTGTCCTTGTCAGGCCCTCCGTCCAGCATCACTGACAAGGGGGAACCACGCCGGGAAATCTGGGTGAACTTTCTCGGCCAATGCAGGGATCGAACACCCGACCTCCAGGCTAGCGAGCCAGCGTCTTACCCACTTAGCCACCATGACGACTAGGCATGGAATCCATGCTGAAAAATTCAAATGAGCTTTCTCGGTCAACACTGGGAGCGAACCCGCAACCTCCCGGGTACCAAGCCAGTGCCTTACACACTAAGCCACATGACTCTCTTCTAATTACTGTGACAGTCCAGTCACATGACAAACAAGGGTTATTAAAACAGATTTTCAAGGCTTGGGTAAGATCTTCGGGATTCAAATGGTTTTAGATATCACACAGTTTGTATATGGTAAGGTATCTTAAACAGTTAATTACATGTCACATATTCATATTTTTCAGTTTCCATATTAGATGCCATAGCAAATCAAAGATCATATAATAAAATAAGTCAAAAAACCCAAATATGGGAAAAGAAAGAGCTGAAGAAATGGTGATTTGAGCACCTATGATTTCTCATAGGTGTTTTTGGAGGGTGAGTGTTCAATTCTAATAGAAAAGATTGTTGTTGTGGTATTTTAGAATCTCACCATAATGTGTTTGGCACAATATAGCCCGGTTGGAGCTGATGTGACATAAACCTCGATTTCATTTTAATATTTTGAAATTTAAAATTCAGTTTAGTATAGTAAAACTGTACACGTACATGTATGTGCACAGACAGAATCTTACTTATGTCCAGATACATGTAGATATGACTATCTCATCTGTGGGGACCCATGGTGACCAAGTGGGTTAGACACTGGTTTGTATATTTTAAGGTCGAGGGTTTGCAGTAAGACGATGCAGTACGGGGGGCCTTACAAGGACAGCTGTCTAGTCGTTCAGATTGAACAAAAAAACGTGGTCCCGTGTACACATTGGCGTGCATGTAAAAGAGCCCCTGGCAGTTAGAATTTGATACAAGAGTAGGCCTTAGGGTCACGGTACCCGGCAAAATTTCTCTCGTGGCACACTGTATGGCATATGCCCAACCTCATTAGCCCAGTCGAAGCTGAACAGTAGGACGCCAAACCCCATTTCATTTCATTTTTTTCATTTTGTCTCATCTGTGACAAAGCAAACCAACACATTACAATACAATTTAATTAAATTAAAACTTTCGTCTATTTAAATATTGAATCGATTTAAGTCAACTAAAACATAGTATGTTTTTTTTCTCAGTTAACTACATCAGAAAGATCAAGACAGTTGGAAATGGCTATTCATATTATGGAAACTTTTTCTCACAGAGCTTGATAATCAGGTAAAATGTAAGTAACATACGTATTTGTATTTTTAATCATCAACTAGTTCTATACACTTGATTGGTAATCTAGTTATTCTTCTTGGGGCAATGCCTAGGACTCTCCTATTCAAGTCTTGGCATTCTTGATTTTTGACAATCACATCCATTGATTTTCTTCAAGTTGTGATAGACCCTATGTGTATTTTTACAGTAAATAGCAGTATAAAAATGGACAATATTTTACTTTTCAAATAGATTTTAATAGGTAATATCCAATTTGTTGTCGATGGAAATAAAATATAATAATCTGCCTGGGTCTGTTACTGGACAAGACACAATAAGTGTTACCCAAAGATGAAACAAAATAGAGACTCAGTCTCGATGTGGCAAAATAAATTGTTTATTTAAACATTGTGAACCATAAATAGTAAGAAAGTATTCTTATTGCCTACTTTTTATTTTTTAGGCTGGAAGATTATTTGATGTATGATAACAACAAGAGATCCCAAGCATCAATTTATTTTATAATTCTGGAAAAGAATGCATTTATCCCTATTTTTGAATATTTTTTTTTGTTTTTACTGTTAAATATTCATCCCAAACACAATTAGATTTTAATTCTCTACAGAAATTTATGTATAATATAGAATGTAAAGTGACATATAAATCACTTAGAATTTGGTCGGAAATCATAAAGTATTTAATAGGCATAGTCTAGAAACCAAATGTAGATCAAATATACCCAGAATTACAAAAAACCTTGACCTACATTAAGGTGACTTTCCCTTGCTTATGAAATGAAATAGGGTTTAATATCCTTCTTTTCTGTGTTATTATGGTGATTCTGCCCTACAACCTACTCTTATATCAAATATTTCAACTGTCAAGGGTTGTTTAAAGGGAACCCAGGAGGGCCGAATGGTTAACACACACACATTGGATCAGAAGGGTCTGTCATTGAGTCAGATAATTCAATTGTCAATCAAGGGTTCTTTAAAGTAAACGCAGTGGGGGTAGTTTCAATTCTGGGCTTATACCCAATTATCCCTTGCCATGTCCTACACTACTGACGTGTGGGAACTATGTCGGAAAATCCAGTTGAAATTTCTCGGCCAATGCACTCACTGAACCACAGTGGCTCCTCCTTGCTTTTGACTTGTGATTATTTATATATATTTTGTACATATTATTTAATGTTTGCGATTTTCTCTGATATTTTTTTATTTTTCAATCCTGTAATCTTGATGATTTGCTCCTTTTATGTACAAAATATTCATTTTGTTTGTTGTTTTTTTTTTAATGAGGAAAAGGTTCTACATCATTTTATTACTCCTGCAAAATAGTGCATTTTTCTTTTTTTAGTTTTCTGTGTATGCTAGTTATTTCTAGATGCCTCACAAATCACTTGTAATATGACTTTGTAGCACTTTTCAGTTTCTGAAAGTATTTCAATTTAGTGCATAATTAATCTAATTAGGGCTTGGTTTGGATGTTATTAAATTTAGATATATTTGATTTATATATTTTTGGGGTATGGGGTAGGGATCTTTCTTTTCTTAGTTCTTGTTTTCGGGTAAAGAAAAAATTAAATAGCTATTTTGTATTTTGTGATGTGGGGGGGAGGGGGGCAAAGTATAACACAAATTTTATTAGTATTAGAATTATATCTCTGTTTTTCTGTTAACATTTCAAATGATGTCTATTTAGTTTTGATTTGGTGGTGTTAATTTACTTTTTCCTATCATTTTATGAATAAATGATAATTTAACAAATAAAATTATTGTTACCTCATTTATCAAACTTTACAGGTTAAACAGAGCAAAAGGGGTGGGGGGCTGCATGGGAAAGATTGCTAAATTGAGGGAAAATAAAACACAAGTTTTTGTTGGTGGTTATACACAAGTTTTTATGAAATTTCAACACAAGTTTCAGAAATTTCAACACAAGTTTCAGAAATTTCAACACAAGTTTCAGAAATTTCGACACAAGTTTCAGAAATTTCAACACAAGTTTCAGAAATTTCAACACAAGTTTCGACACAAGTATTGTGTAGATTTTCACACAAGTTTGTGTTGTTTGGTAAATTTTAACACAAGTCTTGTGTTGTTTCAACATTTAACACAAGTTTGTGTTGTTTCAACACAAGTTTGTGTTGTTAAATAGAGACACCTAACTTGTGTTGAAAACAACACAAGTTTGTGTTGTTTCAACACAAGTTTTTTTCAGTGTACAACTACAAGGGCTTCCACAGCAGTGTTCTGATGGCAGTGGCAGATACTACCTACAAGCTCTCTATGTGGATGTTGGGGCAGAGGGTGGTGCGTCGAATGGGGGAACATAGAGTAACTGTTCCCTGCATGATGCTGTAGAAGAGAACAGAGCTGGAGTATCTCAACCAGAACCACTCCCTAATGATGACCAGCCAGTGCCCTATCACTTCGTAGGGGATGACGCCTTTGCTCTCCGAACCTGGATGATGAAACCATTCTCCCATCGGTCACAGGTCCTACGAGAACGCATTTACAGCTACAGGTTGTCTCGTGCCCGACGTGTCGTGGAGAATTCCTTTGGAATTTTGTCTCAAAGGTTCCGTTGCTTCTTCACGACGATGCATCAGCACCCCGACACTATCAACCTGATCAGCATGGAATGGCGAGCAGTGTCCAGGAAGCCCTATATATACACCTGCACCGACGCGTACGCCACTGTCGCGCAGTAGTCGTGAACTATTCGTGAACTATTCGTGGCAGTTCGTGACAGTCGTGGCATGGCGCGCACTGCCACGCACTGGCACGCATCCTCCCGCATCGTCCCGACGAATTCACGACGAGTTTACGAACAGTTTGCGCATAGTTCACGACCCGGTAACTAAATTTTGTCGTGACCAAAATTTTGAACATTTCAAAATTCTCGTCCCGACATGGCACGCAGTCACGACGGGTTTACGCAGACTTCACGCCAGTTTACGACTAGTTTGCGCACTGGCACGGAATCGTGCAAGTGTCAGCCTTGCTTTACATAGTGTGATGAGGTCTACTGTGGTGCTTGCAAAGGTATGTTTTTTTGTGTCTTGTAGAGAATAAAGGCGATAAATCAAGGATGCGAGACCATGACAATAATAACATGGTGTTACGACAGAATAAAGTGTCGTATGCTGTCATGTTATAAGGCGCGGGGGGGGGGGTGACCGAATGGTAAGCACGTGCGCGCTGTATCAATACGTCTGTCATTGAGTCAACTGGCGTGGTTTCGAATCCCCGGTTGTACGTGGCAAGGAGTAGAGTCGCCTCTCCAACCTCGTGGGTTTTCTCCGGGTCCTCCGGTTTCCCCCCACTGCTAAAGACCCCTACGCGCAAGCGAATTATTGAAATAAAAATTGAACCATGTGTTAGTCCCGAAATGACCTAGTTTGTGTCGAGTGGACGTAAAACCCATCTCTCTCTCTCTCTCTCTCTCTCTCTCTCTCTCTCTCTCTTATAAGGCGATATTTTTCAGCCACCATATTTAAGAATTCTTCGTCACCTGACAATTAATATGCCACATAAATGAAAGTGAGAGTACAAAAAGAACTAATTGGTTTTGTTTGTCTGTGGTTTAAATTATAGAAAATATATTACGATTAAGAAACGGGGTGTGTCTGGCAACAGACTACATGTATATGCCTATTGGCAGCTAAAAGGCCCAGCGGATAAATAACAACTGTTTTCTGTGAATTAAGGTTTTAATGGAATACAGAATTTCAATAATTATGTTATGACTCGACGGAGGCACCAAACTTTTATTGATCAGAGAATGACAAATATTTGGTTCCTTAGAAAGCTTTCCAAGGTGCGCCATTGAAATATGAATTTTCAGTGGGAAATAGAATTAAATCATTTTTTAAAAACTGCAAAATATTCTAGGGCGCTTAGCTCCTTTAAGATGCCTCTCACTTTGCATGATTAGTCCGGTAAGCGCAGAAAAGTAAGACCTTAAAATTAGCCCTAGGCCCCCAAAGGAGGCTTCTACTGATAGCCATGAACAGAATAATATTAACAGCAAAATAGGTTTAAAATCGCGTGGGTCTTCTTACATCAGACCCAGTTGATCTACTCTCGACAGTCGGTTGGTTTCGCGCCGTCACAATGTCTTGATCCATTTGCTGCTATACCGCCACACCACTCGAATTTTTAGTTCAATTTAAATATTCTTTTGTTTACGTGTGATCTTTATGGGTCATAATTCAACAGAAATGGTTAATTCTATTTGCCTGCATTAGGCTGCAGTGAGTTCAATCACATTTCTTTTAATTAATGACAAACTATAATACATTCTGTGGTTTGGTATCAATTAAAAAAATGAAGACTGCATCAAAGCCTTAATTTTTTAGAAAAATGTTTTGGCATTAAAAAAAACCTTTAAAAATATAAAACTTACCGAATATATGTGTCAGAATATGATTGTTTTAAATATATATGTACAGCAATTCAGCGAGGTGTCTACGGCAAAGAATTTGGTACCTTTGTAAACTCCAACAGATTTTCGTCTTTGCTCTGCTGATTTCTCAATGTGATTAAGCCACGTGATTATATAATGTGCAGTATTTATTAAAGTCGTGCACCATTTAAGTTATATTATACATGTATATCTGAATAGAAGATCGGCAAAACGTCATCGGAAAGAGCCATTTGTCCAGCACACTCACTTGTTTTATATCTTTTTCTCTCGCTGAGGTTACTGTATTATTTTTGTTTTTCAAAATGTTCCGGTCTGCTCGAAAAATCTGATTGCCCGAATGTTGGGATGGGGTGGGTGCAGCTGCAAGGGTCCGTACGCCTATGGCAAAACAGCATATCATACTAAAATCTCTTCGGGGGACTACACCCCACCTCCGCTCCCACATTCTGGGTCTGGGTGCAGCTGCAAGGGTCCGTACGCCTATGGCAAGGCAGCATATCATATTAAAATCTCTTCGGGGGACTACACCCCACCTCCGCTCCCACATTCTGGGTCTGGGTGCAGCTGCAAGGGTCCGTACGCCTATGGCAAGGCAGCATATCATACTAAAATCTCATCGGGGGACTACACCCCACTTCCTCTCCCACATTCTGGGACTACACCGATTGATATAATTATATGATTTTATAATCAATATTTTCTAAGATGGTTGTTCTACTTTAATAGTTGGTATACAACAAGGAAGTTCTCACAGTAATAGACACTACATCTTTTTAAACATATTGTATAATCATTTGAATTTTTGATTTATGTATCACATTTCAGTCAACTTCTCAGGTTATGTAGACATACGGTGATTTATTAAGGTCAATTTGATAACCAGTTAGAGTAAGCCTGAATAATTCACAAGTTTTATAATTGTTACTTCTGTGTAGAATTTGGAGAGAGAGAGAGAGAGAGAGAGAAGAGAGAGAGAGAGAGAGAGAGAGAGATGGGGTTTAACGTCCACTCGACACAAACTAGGTCATTTTGGGACTAACACATGGTTCAATTTTATTTCCATAATTCGCTCGCGGGTAGGGGTCTTTAGCAGTGGGAGGAAACCGGAGG